AAATTTTAGGATTTTGTAGTTCTCTGCAGAATGCTATTGTCATTTGGATAGGACCTGCATTGAATCTGTCGATTGCTTTGGGTAGTGTGGACATTTTAACAGTGTTAACTCTTCCTATCCACAAGCATGGTGTGTCCTTCTACTTATTTGTATTTTCTTCAGCTTCTTTCTTCATTGTTTTATAGTTTTCTGAGTACAAGTCTTTTACCTCCTTGGTTAAAATATTTCTAGGTATTTTAGTCTTCTTGATGCAATTGTAAAATAGGATTGTTTTCTTAATGTCTTTTTCTTTAGTTCATTACTGGTATATAAAAATGCAAATGGTTTCTGAATATTAATTTTGTATCTTGCTGCTTTACTGAATTTATTCTAGTAGTTTTTTGGTGGATTCCTTATGTTTATATAACATCATGTTATCTGCAAATAATGACAGTTTCACTTCTTTCCAATTCATATGCCTTCTGTTTCTTTTTCTTGTCTGATTGCTGTGGCTAGAATTCCCAATACCATGTGGAAAAGTGGCCCTGACTGGTGTGGCTTGGTTGGGTATTGTTCTGCACAGTGAAAGGTCACCAGTTCAATTCCTGGTCGGGGCACATGCCTGGGTTCTGGGCCATTCCCCAGTCAGGGTGTGTACAAAAGGCAACGGATTGATGTTTCTCTCCCACATTGATGTTTCTCTCCCTGCCTTACCTTCTTTCTAAAACTAAATAAATAAATCAAATCTTTTAAAAAAATGGTCAAAGTGGACAACTTTGTTTTATTCCTGATCTTAAAGAAAAAGCTTTCAGCTTTTCACCCTTGAACATCATGTTGGTTTGTCATATTTGGCCTTTATTATGTTGAAGTATGTTCCCTCTATTCCAAGAGGGTTTTTAAAAAATCATAAATAGGTGTTGGATTGTGTCAGATGCTTTTTCTGCATCTATTGATGTGATCATAATTTTTATCCCTCATTTTATGTGGTGTGTCACGTTAATGATTTGCAGATATCGAACCTGCCTTGTACTCTGGGAATAAATCCCACTCGATCTTGGTGGATGATCTTTGTAATGTATTGCTGAATTCAGTTTGCTGATATTTTGTTGAGGAAATTTGTCTGAAGGTAGCTTTTGATTTCTTCTTTGAGCTTGTTGCTGACCCATTCACTGTCTGGTAGCATGTCAGCCTCCATGCGTTTGTGTGTTTTTCAGTTTTCTTCTTGTTGTTGGTTTCTAGGGTCACACCATGGTGGTGGGAGAAGGTGCTTGACATGATTTCAGTCATCTTAAATTTAGCGAGACTTGTTTTGTGGGCTAACATGTGGTTTTGTGGGCTGACGTGTGCCTGGAAAATGTTTCCATTGAAAAGAATGTTGATTCTGTTGCTTTTGGGTGAAATGCCCTAAAAATATCAATTATATCCATCTGGTCTAAAATATCATTTAAGGCCATTGTTTTCCTGTTAATTTTCTGCCTGGGTGATGTATCCATTAATGTCAATGGGGTGTTGAAATCCCCAGTTATAACTATATTATCGTTGCTCTTTCTGTTTATGTCTGTCAGTATTTGCTTTATATATTTTAGTGCTCTTACATTGAGTGTGTAGATGTTTATGAGTTGAAACCTCTTATTGGAGTGATCCCTTTACCATTATGAAGTGCCCTTTGTCTGTTGTTACATCCCTTGCTTGAAAGTCTGTGTTGTCCAAAATAAGTATTGCTAACTCAGCTTTTTTTCCCATTTTCTATTCTCATGAAATATCTTTTTCCTTCCCTTTCAGTCTGTGTGTTTCAGTCTGAAGTGGGTCTCTTCTAGGCAGCATATGTACAAATCTTGCTTTTCTAAGATTTTTTTTTTTTGTCTTAGGCCTTTGACATTTTAATTATGATGTGTCTCAGTGTGGGCCTCTTTGGGTTCATCTTTTTTGGAACTCTTTGCACTTCCTGGACTTGTATGTCTTTTTCCTTCACTAAGTTAAGGAACATTTTCTCTCATCATTTTTCAAACAGGCTTTCGGTTCCTTGCTCTCTCCCCTCCTTCCAGTACTCCCATGATGTGAAGGTTGGCATGTTTGAGGTCGTCCCGGATTACAGGTGACAGGGGGATTGGCTCTGTGGGGAAGCTTCTATCCTGGGACTGTTCCATAGACACCAAGGACGGGAGCTGTGGTGGCACTCACAAGTTGGCCAAAATAATCAGTCCCCAGTTGGATGAGGTTTCTCTTGGGACACTGTCTGTGTCTGCATTGGTCTCAGTTCCGAGAGTCATCTCAGATGGACTGGTGTCGGCACCTTGGCCTCCGACAGTTCAGGCTGTTGTGGAGCCAGTGGGGGAGGGGGTGCTGAGGCTGGTATGGAAGATGGCAGTGGTGACTTATAGCCATGTGCTGCCCTGCTGTCCACTTGTCTGCCCCCACTGTTGTCTTATGTTCTCATGTTACTCTGCAGTGACTGCGTAGTTCACCAGCAGCTCTTACTTCAGTCCTGTTTTACTATTAGATTAGTTTTGCTTAAACCCTGCCCTTGTCCCACTCAGCCTGTCGTAATTCATTACGGCACAGTGGCCCAAGTCAGATCAAGTCTTTACAGCCCTCCGTGGTCTGGCTCCACATTCCTGCAGTTCCCGCGGCCGGCACTGAGACACTGAGGCCTCCCAGTGCAGCCCCTCACTGTCATCCACAGACACGCGTGGTCGGACTTGCCTGTAACTTTACCGTGTGTGTGTTTCCCATCTCTCTTTGTCCAGTTTTACTTCTTCAAGGCTCAGTGTAAGTCCTGTTTCTTTTTTGTTTGTTTGTTTCTTATGGGATACCTCCCGATGCCCATGGCCTTGCTCTTCCTTCTCTACCTCATATTACTCTGTAGAAATGTGTGCTTGGTTACACCCTGTGACTCGTGTGTGCAGGTGATCAGCCAGAGCTTCCTCTGCTCTTCTAGAAGAAACGCCTTGTGTCCTCCGTCTCTCCCACATGACCTCTGGACGCATGAGGCCATCCTTCACTTAGGCCTGTAACCCTGTGTCTCTGTCCTTCCCTGGGACCCCCGTCTTTGTTAATCGCCTCTCCTTGCTCGCCCATCTCTTTCCCTTTACTGGGTGATCCCATGGCAGTGAAATACTCTTTTTTTTTATTTATTTTTAAATTTATTTTTAGAGGGGATGGAAAGGAGAAAGAGAGGGAGAGAAACTTAACATGTGGTTGCTTCTCCTGTGTCCCCTACTGGGTCCCTGGCCTGCAACCCAGGCATGTGCCCTGACGGGAATCGAACCAGCCACCCTTTGCTTCCCAGGCCCGGGCTCATTCCACTGAGCTACACCAGCCAGGGCAACAGTAGTGAAATATTCTGATCGGCTTCCGCCTTTAAATACAACCAGCTAACTTTGCTCTGCCCCGCACTCTTCCCTTGCTTCCGTCCCACTTCTCTGCTCCCCATCAGAGCAGACTGTGATGGAGCTGTCTGCACCCCTTTGTCTCACTTATCTTCAGTTTGCTCTCACCTGTATTTCATCCCTCCCTCTCCCTTGAATCTGTTCTTGAGGACACCAGGACCTCTGTGCTATCAAATCCTGGTGGACACGGGGCGGGGGGGGGGGGCATTAGGGAGGCAGTGCCCAGCTCCGCCCCTCAGCCTCTCAGCCCCTCTGCAGTTTAGCCACCTCTTGGAATCCTTTCTTCTTGGCTTCTGTGATACCCCTGCCTGGTTTTCTGACTGACATACCATCTGCTCCTCCTCCTTCTCTTCAGCCACTTGTCTTTATCTGTACACTCTGCTTTGGCTGCAGCATTCAGTCCTGACTCCAGTTTTTTCTTTCCCCTCCCAATCTGTAATGCTGGGAGAGCCTCAAAGTTCTTGTTCCTCAGAATATCAGGGCTTTAAATATTGGGTGTGTGCCGATGACACCCACAGCTCCTTCCCAATAGCAGGCGTGCATATCCAGCTGCTGCATAGTTTTTCCACGTGGATGCTGAATGGGTGTATTGTACTTAACATCTAAAAGTTGGACATTCAGAGAACTTACAGCATGACCCATGGACATAAACAATGATGGGGGAATTGCCTGAGGGGAGTGGGGAGTGCTGGTAGAGGGGGCAAAGGGGGAAAAATCAGGACAACTGTAATAGCATGATCAATAAAACATAATTTAAAAAAGTTGAACATTCAAGTGCATACACACACACTCACGCACACTGCCTTTCAGCCTTCCAGCCTCATTCCCTATTCTTTCCTTCTCCTTCACGCTACAGTGAGTGGCCCCAGTTGCTTAAGCCAGAAACACAACCATCATCCTTATTTCTGCCTTCTGCTTCTAAGACTATCCAGTCATGCCTCTGCACTGCCACCATCCTCGTGTAAGCTACCCTGATGTCCCCGCTGACTGCTGCTGTGGCTTCCTAACCCAGCGCTGCCTCCCCTCTCATTCCACAACCCGGTCTGCACCACGGAGCAGACTGCTCTTGGAAAATAGATCAGATTGTATCATTCCTCCTCAGTATTTTCCTTGGCACTTAGAACACAAAGTCCCCACTTTCAAGGACAGTGTGTAAAAGCTTTCTGCCTGTGCCTCCAGCTTTATCTTAGATCGTTTCTCCCTTACTCCTCATGCTGAGGACACTCTGGCCTCATTTTTGTGCTTGAGTCCACCAAGGTCTGTCTCACTGCAGGGCCTTTGATATGCTCATACCTCTGTTGGGAGCATTCAGCTGGTTCCATTTCCTCCATCAAATGTCATGTTTTCTGACCGGGGTATTAATCATGTCCCTAGTTACTCCTTGTGACTCATTTATGTGTATTGCTAACCCCTCCGCCCCCACACACAGCTCTCCTTTCTCTCAAAGCTACTAAAAGCAGGGGCCCCTTCATCATTGCCTGCTGGTGTAGCGAACCTAGCACAGGGTCTGAGACTCGGTTAATCCTCATGTGTTAGCTGAATGAATGATGATTGTTTTTGTTGCAACTTTTTCTCATGAATCCTGTGCACTCAGTGCAGTGGAATGAAATACATTTGTTTTTTTCTGTCTAGTTTGAATGCTTGGACTCTCCTGAACTGAGCGAGGGCACGTCTCTGGGTGCCGACTGACGTGATGTTTTACCGGTGGCTCTCAGTGGTCCGAAGACACAGAGCCAGCCGAGGATGGCGGAACTGGTCCTCAGCCAGAAGCAGTGCATCGGCGTCCATGGCACATTCTGTCGCTCTGCCTGCTCAGGCGCAGGTGGTCATCTGTGGTGGGGGAATCATGGGCACGTCCGTGGCCTATCACCTGTCCAAGATGGGATGGAAGGACATTGTCCTTTTGGAGCAGGGCAGGTAAGGATTCAGCCAGATGTGGGTTCCCCCCTTCCCTCCCCTTTTCATGACATTGCCCCACCAGAAGCTAATCACTGTTGCTAAGTAGCGTGAGAAAAATCACAGGGGGAACACTATACTCTTTTATTTTGGCGATGTCTGAAAGCCGTGTTTTCTTGTTTCAGAGAGCAGGCAGAATATGACAAAACAAGTCTCTGAAACATGCATTTATTTCAGGTTCGCAAGATGCTCTGTTCCCCTTCCTGTGGTCAGGCAGCAGCGTAAACCCTGCGGGCCAAGGCCTCCTCTGGGGGTTGGATTGCCTGCACTCTGATCGATTTCTGTTTTCAGTTCAGTAATTTATTTTGAAACAGTTTGAGATTTACAGAATAATTGAGAAGGTAGAAGGGAGTTCCCATAAGACTCACCCCCCAGTTTCACTTGTTATGAACACCTTTTTTTTTTTAATATTTTAAAATTTATTTATCTTTAGAGGGGAAGGGAAGGAGAGAGGGAGAGAAACATCAGTGTATGGTTGCCTCTCGTGCGTCCCCTGCTGGGAACTGGCCTGCAACCCAGGTGTGTGCCCTGACTGGGTATGGAACTGCAATCCTTTGGTTCACAGGCCTGAGCTCAATCCACTGAGCTCTGCTAGCCAGGGCTGAACGCCTTTTTAAAAAAATATTTTATTTATTTATTTTTGGAGGGAGAAAAGCATCAGTGTGCAGTTGCCTCTCATCTGGCCCCCACTAGGGACCTGGCCTGCAAACCTAAGCATGTGCCCTGACTGGGAATCAAACCTGTGACCCTTTGCTTTGCAGGTCTGTGCTCAATCCACTGAGCTGCACCAGCCAACGCTGTTATTAATATCTTGTATCAGCATTACTGTCTCACTAACAACACTGTCACATTATTATTAACTACGATTCATCGTTTATTTGCATATTTTCATTTTTCCCTAATGTTCTTTATTTAAGACTTTTGTGTTCTGTTGCCTATACAAACTGGACATTTTTTTTAAATTTAAAATTTATTTCTTAAAAGGCAATACATTCACATGAGCCAGCATAGAAAGTTGTTGAAGAGTGTGTAGGGAAAGTCTCTCTCTTGCCCCTGACCTCTGGCCTCAAGTTCTCCTTGCTGTAGGCCAGGCAGGTTCCTGCTGTATCAGTGCCAATGCCCTCCATTCATGAGCACATGTATGTTCATCAGTGTGTATTGGTGTATATGGGCGTTCATTTATTTTTCCCTGTTTTATACAAGTGGTAGCATTTCCTAAACACTGTTCCTCACTTTACTTTTCTCAATAGGATTGTTCCACATTGTTGCATACAGGCTTTTTCACTCCTTCTTTATGGCTGTATAGTATCCCATTGTGTGGGTGAATTCTAATTTTGAAATCAGTGTCGTGTTGACGGACATGTAGGTTGTTTCCATCCTTCGATAGGATAAAACAGTGCTGCAGTGTGGAAGTTGAATTTGCTGCGTTCACAGACACATGAGTCCAACTAACAGCTTTTTGGATCCATGCTGCAGGCTGGCTGCCGGCTCCACGAGGTTCTGTGCTGGCATCGTGAGCACCGCCAGGCACTTGAGCATCGAGCAGAAGATGGCAGACTATTCAAACAAACTGTACCATCAGTTAGAGCAAGAAACAGGGATCCAAACAGGTGAGCAGGGAGTCAGCCCTTTACTGGCCTCTGTGCCCTGGACTCTCACTTGGTGCTCTGTCTGGTCCCCAGTGAACTGGCCTGGGGATTGGTGACTCAGACCTGACTTCCAGCCCCTGCGCTGCCACTGGGTAGAGTGTTCATTAGCCCAGGCAAGTCTCTTCACTTTTGTGCTGTCTTCCGTTCTGTTTTTAAAATGAGGGCATTCAGTCATTATTCCAGATCCCTGTCAGGCGATGTAATTCTTATTATGATACGAAAGCCATTTCTGAGCCATTTCCAGTGTATTTCACTCACTGAAGTGTGGTAAGTGGCAGCACTGGCTCTGACAGCAGGAGGCGGAGGAACGTAAGTTGGGGTGCTGATGGTCACGGTTCAACCTATTGAACTTCAGAAAACTGCTAGTGAGAATGTTCCTGACTGAGAGCATTCCCAAATTTCCCCTTCCCTGTGGGATAGGGGTGGATGGGCCAGGGGGTGGTAAGCTAACCAGCACTGGAATGAGCAGGAGCTGTCCTAAGAAGAGGACGACTGACCCGTGCTGTGGCCCCATACCGTCAAAGGGGGAAGGTGGCCGGAGACTGATCGAAGGCGGTCAGTTTGTTGTGTGGTGACGGACGGATCAGCCGGAGGCCCGGAGCTGAGCTTGCTCCCACAGCCAATTAAGCCATGTGGGGAGCACATTGTTCGTCCCCAGTGGGTAGCCACATCCAGTGAATGAGGTTCCAGACACTCGTGTATGTCAGGGTTCACCTTCTGAGGACCTTGCGTAATTCACGTACCATGGGTAATTCAAGACTAATCCCAACAAAGGATCATAGCTTTGCTTTTTTTCTTTCTTTCTTTCTTTCTTTTTTTTTTTTGCCAACTGAAGTGGTTCTGCCGTGTGATCAGAGTGTGAGCTCAGTGTGTGGTGTGCCTCGAGGTCCATTTAGAAATTATATGACGTGTGACAGTGTTTTCATTAGGGGAAGAGAGGTCTGAATTTTTTGAAGTTTTGGGTTTATAACATTTCCACTGATACAGTTCATACTTTCATGAAGTGTACCCTTATTTGTAAACTAGAGCAAGCCCATCTGCCTAGTAACTAGGGTTTCCTAGCCATGAAGTTGGAGAGAAGAGATGCCAGGAGAGGAACAGGAGGCCTGGAAGGAAGAGGTGGTATATTCTTATGCACGTCACAGGGCTGGGACTGGGGTGAGGAGAGCATGCACCCGAGGGTGACCCTGCACGGCATGTCGCTGAGATCCAGTGCCTCCTTACCTGGTGTGACCTGGGCGCCTTGGCACCTCGTGGTGTCATTGGACCGGACCAGGCCTCCTGCGGAAAGGCAGGGCTCGCAAGTGAACACAGTGAAAGTAGTTCCTGCTGCCTCGCTGTCTCTGGCGTTTTATTAGGGAAGATGCCTGCTATGGGCAGGACAGGCAGGAAACAGTCCCTTTTGTTGGATTTAATGATGGCAACAAGGTACTTGAATCAGGTATTACCCAAGGTTTAGTCAGAAGAGGGTCCACGTAATGGGCCCAGAGATGGGGCAGCTGAATCCCGCTTCACTGGGTCAGGTACTGGTGTGTTGCTGAGCCTTGCATCACTCAGCTGGTTGGCTTCCGGAGGGATGAGGGTCATAGGCTTCTTTTCTGTAAGGTAAGTTAGCTTAGTGTTTTTTCTAGATCACCATCTGGAGCCCTCATTTGCCCCGGCTGCTCCTTGATGCCTGTGGGGCAGTGAGGAAGTCCAGTGAGCCAGAGTAGGGGATCGCCCTCTGGCTCTCGCCCCCTAGCCGTTCACCTGTGGCACAGCGACAGGTGGCCAGGGGCCTCCATGGAGAGGCCTCCCATCTGGCATTTGTGCAGGTGTGCCCTGCTGTGGTCGCTTCCTTCAGTAGGCAGCCATTGAGCCATTGATGCAGATGAGGTGACACGTGCGCCACTTGCTTAGATGGCCCTGATGGTCCACTCGCTTGAGGTGCACGTTAGTTGCCCGTCAGATCGTAGTGCGACTCCGAGGCCTCATCCCGACCACGAAGGTTGGTGTCTGCAGGGCTGTGGTGTGAGTGCAGCCGTCTGAAAGTTTATAATCTTTGGGAGTATTTCATGTATTGCTGCATCTTATAATGAGGGTCATTCTTTTGCAGCTGAAGAAACCTAGATTTAGGGAGATTGAGCCAATTTTTTAACTCAGTGATAATGCAGTTTTTAAAAAATTAATTAGTGGGTTGAAAGGAACATATACAGTGGTAGTTTCCTGTATCTAGTCTATAGTAGTGAGTGTAAAATAACTCTGAACCCTTTCTCTCAATGTGAAATCCGGAGTGTGAGTAGCCCACAAATCATCAGGGTAGTCTGGTAAATTGACTGTTTTTAAACACCGGTCTCTGGAATTCTAGTCTTCTAAACTGAGACATTCTTGTCATGTCAGTGAAGGGTATATTTACCTGATGATTTCAATAGAAATTAAGAAAATAAGCTGTTCTCACTGTACTTCCTTTGAAAAGAAACTGATTGATTCAACTTTTTCTTCATAAGAAGTGAGTCATTGCATTTTAGGAGGATTGTCATTGACCCATGTACAATAACAGTTGTGTCAGGTATGTTGATCACAAACCAGCGGGAGGCAGTGTAGAGGCCAGGGCCCCGCAGGCGGCACTTCAGTGGAACAGAGCCTTCTGGCCTGGGTGGTCTGCACTTGAAATTTCAGGTGACCGCCAGCCATTTACCTGCTTGCCCAAGGCTGAGTATCCCAGGGATCTGATGGGCTGAGCTTCGGTCACATACCTTCTGGCTCTCCTGGGGAAGGAGGTAGGGTTCCAACACCCTGGGGGCTGATGTCATGAGCTGTCTTCACCAAGGGCTACATGCCCACCAAAACTAGGGGGAGAAAATCTAAAAAGAGTGAAGAATATAATGGAACCTGGGTTCCCTTCCTCCCCAAGAGTTTTTGAGCAATGGCATCTTTTATTTATTTATTTTTAAGAATGATTTTATTTGCATTAAAGTCTCGTTTGATCCTCACACAACTCTGAGCTGAGACTGTCTAGAGGGTGGCCTCCCAGGACCCATCACAGGCCTTCTCCCTCACCCTGCCTTTGCCTGGTCTGTCTGAGTCTGGGCTGATTTTCCTGCAGGCTACGTAAGGACCGGCTCCATCTTCCTGGCCCAGACTCAGGACCGCCTGATCTCCCTGAAGCGTATCAACTCAAGGCTGAAGTACGTATGAGGCTAGAAGCCAGTCCTGGCTTTACTGTCACACTGACCTCTGCCAGAGGGCCAGTGAATGTCATTGTCCCCTTGTGTTCTGTGACAGCGTCATAGGCATCCCTTCCGAGATCATCTCCCTCAAGAAAGTGGCTGAACTCCACCCTCTCCTCAATGTGCACGACCTGGTGGGGGCCATGCACGTCCCCGAGGATGCAGTGGTGTCCTCTGCCGATGTGGCTCTTGCCCTGGCGAGCGCTGCCTCCCAGAATGGTAAGCAGGTTTGGGATTAGGAGGCAGAGGTTGTGCAAGGGCGTGACTCACAGTAGGCAGCGACGCCCACTCAGCTACCATTTTGTACGCTGGCTTTTTTGTTTTAATATACCATCTGTTAATATTTTTCCTCGAGCCACATTTTCCTTATTAAAGTTCTAAGGAATGGCTCTTACTACTGATATAGTGCACTTCAGACTTAGGGAACTCTTTTCAGCCACTGAACTTGAGAAGCTCCAAGGTTAGAACACACCTTGGGGATTTAACCCACAGCTTAGACTGTATCCAGGTTTGGAGTGAATGAGGGGAAGACACACCAGTGTCCGTGGTGGTGTGCACTTTGAATGAATTGATTCATGATGGGGCAGATTGGGGTTTAAGGGGCTCTATTTGAACAACTTCTCCCCTCTTACCATTCCTGGAATGTAACTGTGCACTGAAGTCGTTACTAAGCTTGCCTGCTGTTTTTAACCTTGGGAAAGTCTCATTTACAGTCTCGGGATGTGGTTCCTGGGAGTTCTTGGTTTTCTGAAATTAAAGCATCGACCCAGCCTTTTCAGTGTTTCCTGAGAGTTGGGAATCGGCTGCGGATGCCTTGATTCTGGAACATCAGAGGTTCGAGTTTGATGCCCCCACTCTTTCTTTACCTTCGAACAGGGGTTCAGATCTACGACCGGACGAGTGTTCTTCACGTGATGGTCAAAAAAGGTGAAGTTACTGGCGTGGAGACAGATAAAGGGCAGATCGAATGCCAGTACTTTGTCAACTGTGCTGGTCAGGTGGGTTAGCAATGAGAGGGGGTCTCTGGTTTTCTTACCTTTTATCTCCGGGACTTTTTTGGCGTAGAGACTTAAGATTCTCTGGTGACAAACTGAACAGATGTCGGGCCCACACCATTTCTAGCGTGGGCTGGAACCCTCGGGGTCCCCATCCTCCCCATCAGAAACCCGAACCATCCCTGCAGCAGAGCGTGCGACCTTCTGCCTCCTCCCTGGGGGCGCGGTGCTCTCCTGCCAGCAGGGCCGGGAAGCACTTGGGTGTTGACATAAATTTTTGGCGTTGGGTTTTTCCATGGTGTTTTATTTCATTCTTTAACATAGCAAATAAAGTGTTAGGCTGTTTTATTGTGTCAGGAGCATGGGTTCAGTTTCCAGAACACTAAGCTGCTTCTGCTTTTAAGACACATTGGTCCTTTCCATTCACTCAGTTCAAAGTGATCTAGGAATACTTCCTGCCTTGGGAAGTTCCTCCTGATTGGTACTTAGGGGTTGTAGTTGAGGCCAGGCATTTTGTTAAAAGGCCTCATTTGTTCTCCACGAGCTCCTGTTACTTGCTGGTAAGTCTGTCTGTCTTTGAGCTAAAAGTAAGTTTTATGGTTTAAAAAGTCTACTATTGCTCCCCATCCAAATAAGTAAACTACCAAAGGCTGACTCCTTGTTTCTCACACCTGACATTGTAGCAAGAGCACACACGAGCCACTTGAAATTAAACTCTTTTCAAGCGGCTGAACTTGCTCATTTGTCTTATTGTTCCTCTTCCACCCACAATCAATCTGTCCATTTGTAGTGGGCATACGAGCTGGGTCTGGCCAACGAGGAGCCGATTAGTATCCCGTTACATGCCTGCGAACACTTCTACCTCCTGACTCGCCCCTGGGAGACCCCTCTGCACAGCAGCATGCCAAGTGAGGACCTGCGCTTTGTTTTCAGTCTCCTTTCCTCGCCCCTGTTCTGTCCTCGGAAAAGGAAGACTTTCTGCTGAGGATGGAACGTGCCCGAAAGAGTCTTGTCTTTTCTGGAGCCTGTCATGGGGAGGTGGCCCAGTTCTGACTTTTCTTTAAGAACTCTTTATGAAAGGATGGCCAAAAGGGGCATTCCACTTAAGCAATTTTTTCCCCTGCAATTTAATTGTAGTCCCAGACAGAAGTCTAAATTGATTAATATTTGGAATTAACCTAGAGTTTTAGACTTGAATGCTGGACATTGTAGGAATGTCATGGGTGAGCTCTAAACTCAGGGTATTTGGTGACCCTGCATGTGGAGGAGAGGGTTTGATTCCTTTCAGAGGTCTGAGTCCCTGGAATGAGCTTGGCAGTCCCTGTCTCAGGCTTTATGTGGCGCAGGGGCCGTTAGTCGTCTGGTGGTGAGGACTAGGCAAAGCTTCTAAGCCCCTGACCTGTGAGGGGTAGTCAGACGGTTTACACTGTCAGTCTGAGAGGGAGAATCTCCTGGATGACCTGGAAGGATGTTTTAGAGCTGCAGTGTCCACTGTGCTCACGGGGTGCTGCTTGGTTAGTAAAGCCAATAGCGGGGGTTTCAGCTTCACTGTTTTCTGTCCATTTAGCAAGATGGCTTACCTCTAACCCCGGTTTTTCTCTTCTTCCCACTCCCTTGTCATTTCTCTTAGCTATCATGGATGCTGATGGCAGAATTTATATTCGGAACTGGCAGGGTGGCATCTTGTCTGGAGGCTTTGAGAAAACCCCAAAACCAATTTTCACTGAGGGCAAGAACCAGCTGGAGATTCAGAATCTGCAGGAGGACTGGGATCACTTTGGTGTGTCAACTAGATAAGCATTAGTAATGCCCTGTGCTCGTCTAAGATGATACATGTTTCAAAGCGTTTTCAAGAATAGCACGCTCTTCGATCCTTATAACAGCCCACTGTGGAGGTTACGGGGGGCAGGCCACAGAGTTTGCCGGGGCTCAGGACAGTCACTGGGTAGCAGAGTCAGAAGACTAAGTCTTGGTTAGTGGGCTTTTTGGCTTATTACTTACTCAACTAAAATAACTGCTGAAATTTTAGGCTAGGAAGAAACATTTTCATAGGGTTTCTGATAAAATTAAAGATATTTTTAGAAAAATTAATATATTTACTTAATTTTATAATTTTAATTTTATGTACTGAATAGTTAATATAGTCACATGATTCCAGATTTAAAAGATATTAAAGGGTCTATACTGAAGAGTTTCCTTCCCACTCTTAATAGATTTTTTTCAAGATAATCTTTTTACTGTGGGAAACTTCCAACTTTTGCAAGTGGAGAGCACAGCGTGAGGAACCCCCCCCCACCAGCCAGCTTTGGTCTGGTGTCACCTGTGTCACTGCCCCACCAGACTGCTCCCAGGTGACGGAGTGCGGACGGGCTGAGCATCTGTCTCAGACGTTCCCGCTTTGGGACCCTGCCCCTTCATGGCATCTCTCTCGATGCCACGTGGGGGCCTCAGCACCGAGCCCCTCGAGGTCCTTATCTGTGCCCACGTGCGTCATCTCTGCCACAGCACCTTGCCTTTCCAGAGAGTATCTCCCTTCTCAGTCTCCAAGCCGAGCACTTCGTAGGTGTGTTCCGTAATCCCATCGAGGTTTCTGCTTTCTGGTCAATGGCCCAGCTGGCTCTTCCAGAAGACCTCTTTCAAGAGATTCTGTGGCAGGAGAGGGGGCTGGAACTTTGGAATTCCCTGAAGCTGAGGACTCGTTTGGCTTTGTTTTTATTGCTCAGAGCCCCTGCTGAGTTCTCTCCTGCGTAGGATGCCAGAGTTGGAGACCCTGGAGATCATGAAGTTGGTGAACTGCCCCGAGACCTTCACACCGGACATGAGGTGCATCATGGGCGAGTCTCCTTTGGTGCAGGGCTACTTTGTCCTGGCAGGAATGAACTCCGCTGGCCTTTCATTTGGCGGGGGAGCTGGCAAGTAAGTCTTTCTCACTCACGCTGAGCCCAGTGGGCTTCTCCCTTTCTGGAATCACTTGTTAAAATGGCATGTAATATATTTAATCTGGTATGTTAGTGGTAAGAAGATACATGTGATTTTAGCGTCCTTCAAAATAATTACCAGGGAAGGGCTCTCCTGATATTCCTGAAATGTCACTGTTCAAAATGTCTTTGGGACTCCTCTTTTGGAGGTGGCCATGGAGACTGTGAGAGGGATATTTCTGTGCACTCTCTCACCTGTGACAAATGCAGGTCCTTTGAGTGTGTATTTGAATTTAGAAATATCCACGTGAGGTGAGATAGATGATCATGCTGAGTATTACAAGTTTTAATTTAAAAAGCAGGTACTAATAAAAATTAAGTGGCTCGTGAAGAGACAAATACTGTGTGATTCACTTGTATGGGAGACTTACACTAGTCTAACACACAGAGACCGACAGTAGAAAGGCGGATGCCGGGAGCTGGGCAGGGAGGGACTGGGCAGTGATTGGTTAATGGGTGAAGAGGCTCATTCTGGGAAGATGAAAAGAAACCTGGAGATGGGCAGTGGTGAGGGTTGCACAATAATGTGAATGTACTTAATGCCATTGAACTTTATACCTGAAAGTAGTTAAGGTAGTCAGTCAATTTATGTTCTTATATTTCCACAATTAAAAGTTTGTTTTTTAAACTAATGTGACCTTTTTTTTGGAGCGAATTGTAGAATGGCTCTGAAAACAGTTACGAAAGTGGAGTTGTGAAAACCTGTGGTGCAGAGGAGGTGTAGTCAGATAGCTGTGTGCCTTTCTGAGCAGACTGTTTCACAGAAAAAAACACATTGGGCTTATGAAAAAGAATGCATTTGTATGTATTTTAGTCTTCTGTTTTCCTAGATGTGCCTGTGTCTTAAACATTTTCTAGGGAACCTTATTATTAGGGTTGAAACCCTCCTAGTGGTCTTGTGAGAGCGGTGGTAGAAGGGTCCAGGTTGGTCTCTCCCAGAGCAGGTGGGCAAGTTACCCAGAATCGCTGAATCAGCTCCTGACAAGATAGGACATTTGATCCTTGTTGGTTCTTGATTCCTGGTTCAATGCTGAAAGTATCACACTTGAGGCCCAACAACTGTCATTCCCCGCCCCCCCAAACAGGTACCTCGCCGAATGGATGGTGCACGGCTATCCCTCAGAAAGCGTCTGGGAATTGGACCTGAAGCGTTTCGGAGCCCTGCAGAGCAGCCGCACCTTTCTGCGCCACCGCGTCATGGAAGTCATGCGTAAGTGAAGCTTTATCCCAGTCACACCTGCCTGCAGGTGCAGTTCTTGGTTCTGTTCTCATTCAAAGGGACAGGTTTTGCCTCAGTTCTTAATAATTGCTTCACGTTGTGCTCCATCTGATAGTCACAGACCATTTTCTCTTGTGGGTGTGGCAGCTGTGCACTTCCGGGGGCAGGGAGCTAGAATGGGACTTACAGGTGGGAATTCCCGTCAGGTTCCGGCAGCAGCTTCTTTCATGTTCCCAGCCTTGCCTGCTTCCCACTGTGCCTGGGAGGACTCCCTTTGCCACCATGAGTGCCTGCGGTCCCCGCGGGGTCTTTGGGACCATGGTTTGCTCTCCAAGGCAGAGAACTTGCCAAAGTATTCTCAAAGCTTCAAACTTCTCTGAGTGATTTTTGTCATGAATCCATAATATGCTGGTAAGATAGGAAACCACTTCTCATGTATGTAGAAAACATACATTCCTGCTGTCTTTCTCCTTTTTCTTACTTCCCTCTGTCTTGGAAGGATCGGTCTCTTCATTTTAACTGGCTATTCTGCCTTGTTTCTCATTTACTTTCTAGCTTTTGTATCAGGAATTGAGCCAAATCAGATCGTCATTTCATTTTTCTTATACTAAGGAACTATTTTCAGACTTTGCCAAAAAATGTCTAAATATTTTATGCATATTTATGCTGAGGACTAAGTCTCTGTATTGGCTGTGACCACTGTTCTTTATTAAGAATGAACTGCTGGTTTAGTAGCTGGAGGTTCCCTTCATGGCGGACACTCGGCTGACCTTTAACATCTGCGTGGCCCACGTCGCAACGCCTGCTGTGGGGGTAGAGGCCTTGGCAGCAGCGTGTGTGACTGCTGAGCTTCTTTAGTTATTGGCAAATGCTACAGTTAAAATGTTGAACTGTTGTAAGTCTAGATGTCCCCATCCATAGTTACTGTAGAACCTGTGCAAATTGTAACTGAGCTCGAGTTTCTCCTTGATAATGACATGTGTAGTGGCATTCTCTGATTCTCATAAAATAGAAATTGCAGGCACGACAGAAAGTGGGGAGGGGGAAAGCAGAACCTAAAAATACCAGAGATTGACAAATTGCCACAACGTCAGAAAACCTGTGTGGTGTCCTGTTTTTTAATCTCCCAGCCTCCCCCATGACCCCGATGCACCTCCTGTGTGGAATGGGTGAGGTCAGGTCTTCTCTTTGGAAGGGACTAGATATCATACTCTTTCTGGCTGTTTTTACTCATTGCTGTTACAGATTGGACATTAGGAGAAATGAATTCTGACTCTAGCTTTGTTATGTGAATAATGTCACTGGGACAATACTATGCAACCTGTCAGATTTCAGAGCCACCAATTCAAGGTATGCTATGTGCCCTTTCACTTCAGAAATGGGTTAAACATTAGAGAGGAAATGTCTGTATGGGTCTTAGATCCCGACAACATAAGCATTGTAAAGAAGGAAGTGCCATTTTTTTACACTTGTAAACATCTGTGACCCCCGCAGTATCACCTTCATCTCCTATGGAGCTTAGCAAAGTTTAAAACTAGGACTTTTCTCCCCTTGTTTCTCCCTACTAATTTGGAACCATAATTGTGGACAGAGATGGAGAGTCGTCGTGTGACTCATAGCTGTATAACTGCAGAGGGTGACCCTGACTCTTGCAGTATCGTTCTTTTCTTCTGGAGCATGCCGGTGGGGCTGGGTCCTGTTTGGCAAATCTTGCTGCATTAGCCTGGAAAGATGCTCTGTTGAAAAGGACCAGCTCCCGAGACTAGTGGGTAGTGGGCGCTCAGCTCTGTGGTTGGGCTTTCACAGACTGTTCCGATCTGTTCTAGCTCTGCTGTATGATTTGAAGGTTCCCCGTTGGGACTTCCAGACGGGGAGGCAGTTACGCACATCTCCTCTCTATGACCGACTGGACGCACAAGGAGCCAGATGGATGGAAAAACATGGATTTGAGAGGCCAAAGTACTTTGTGCCACCAGACAAGGGTAAACAGCACGTTTTTGTTTTTATTTAATTATTTATTTTACTCATTTATCTTTAGAGGGGAAGGGAAGGAGAGAGGGAGAGCAATATCAATGTATGGTTGCCTCTCGTGCGTCCCCTGCTGGGAACTGGCCTGCAACCCAGGCATGTGCCCTGACTGGGAATTGAATTGCAACTGTTTGGTTCGCAGGCCTGCTCTCAATCCACTGAGCTATACCAGCCAGGCACATGTTTATTTTTGCTTACTTTTTTTTTTGCCCTGAGAATTAATAAAACTTATTTTTAAATATATATAGCTAGAATGTGTTCCTGGAAGAAAAAATAATAAAAACCTGTTAAGCTAGACAGGGAGCTCTCCCTCACCACCAGTATAAGTCCTCTCCTTTTCTCTCTCCCTTTTGTTCTTCTGTTCTGTAGACCTCCTGGCATTGGAGCAGAGCAAGACTTTCTATAAGCCAGACTGGTTTGACATTGTGGAGTCTGAAGTCAAGTGCTGTAAGGAAGCCGTGTGTGTCATTGACATGTCCTCTTTCACAAAGTTTGAAATAACAGTACGTATTTGGGAACCCATATAACAGACTAGGAAACGGTGCATATTTATTGAATGCCTTCTTTTTTCATCTGTCTCCTCAAAACTGGTTCTTTAAGAACTCCGATATATTTTAATGTCTTTTTTTTTTTTAAAGATTTTATTTATTTTTAGAGAGAGGGGAAAGAAGAGCAAGGTAGAGAAGCATCAGTGTGATTGCCTCTCGTGTGCCTGCAACCCAGGCATGTGCCCTGACTGGGAATTGAACTGGCGACCATTTGCAGGCTGGCATGCAATTCACTGAGGCACACCAGCCAGGGCTGATTGAATTTTCTTAGTAAGTCACATTGCCCATCAGACTAGGTTACCAGCTAAATGATCTTGTACTCTTTCTGCTTTGTTTCTTCACCTTACAGTCCACCGGAGATCAGGCATTGGAAATTCTACAGTACCTCTTCTCCAATGACCTTGATGTGCCCGTGGGCCACATCGTGCACACTGGCATGCTCAACGAGGGTGGAGGCTATGAGAACGACTGCAGCATAGCACGCCTGAACAAGCGCAGGTGAGGTCAGCTGCTGCTGCCAGCGCCCTCCAGCACTGGCTCCCTGAGGGTGCCGTGGCAGAGCCAAGCGCCCAGCTCACTCTTCCAGGAAACCAGAAGTAAACCAAAGACAAAAATATTTTATTATCTCATGACCAGTTCATTAGCAGCCCAATAGAAAAAGAAATCACTAGGGAAAAAAAAACCTCAACAGATTATGTAAAACTCAAAGCAAAAAATTAGTTGCGCTACTGGGAGATGTCTTGTCTTATACTAGTAGGGCTATATAGTAACAGAAGCCAGTCTCCCGTTTTTGCTTATGTGGTGGGTATCCTAGGATTCTGTGCTACTGGCTCACTCTGAAAGCGAAGAGCTCATTTGCCAGTGTTCTGCTTACTGATTTGAAACTAGCTGAGAACTTAATTGCTTCCTGATCTCTTTTTCTGCTGCCTAGTTTTGATTACTTGTGGGTCTGCTTTCAGCTTCTTCATGATTTCTCCAACTGACCAGCAGGTCCACTGTTGGGCCTGGCTTAAGAAGCACATGCCACAGGACAGCAATCTGCTTCTGGAGGACGTTACCTGGAAATATACTGGTATTTCCCTCTGGGGGCCCTCCAGGATCAGCTGTGTGAGGACAGGCCAGGTGATCCAGCTGTGTCAGAATTAGAAGCAGGGAGGAGGCTCTGTGGTCACAGAAAGTTGATCTCTAATACTCCCCCTTCTCTTTCCAGTGAAGCATGGGATGAGTTCGTTAATTAGTGTTTTGTTTACCACTGTGTTCCCTACAGACAGCATGTAGGAATGCAAATATTGATTGAATGGGTGTGTAAATAATTTTTACTTTTTCTTTTTTACTTCATTGTTTTGTTTTTTAGAGTTTAAAGCATTTTTATATAATCTATTATATTTTTCAAAATCTCCCCTTAGCTTTTTTTTTTTAATTCTCCCCCAAGGACATGCTTATTGACTTGAGAGAGGGAGGGAGAAAAACCATTGATGTGAGAGAGAAACATTGACCAGGGACCAAATCCATAACCTAAGCATGTACCCTGACTGGGAGTCACACCTGTGACCTTTCGGTTTACAGGACAGTGTACCAACCAACTGGGCCACACCAGCCAAGGCAGCTTTGCTTTTTTTTTCCCCCCTCTAAGATCTTATTTATTTATTTTAGAGGGGAAGGGAGAAAGAGAGGGAGAGAAACATCAGTGTGTGGTTGCCTCCAGTGCACGCCCTTACCAGGGGTCTGATCTGGCCTGCAAGCCAGGCATGTTCCCTGACCAGGAATTGATCCGGTGACTCTTTGGTTCATGGGCTGGCGCTCAATCCACTGAGCCACACCAGTCAGGGCTTTCTAGTGAATAATTTTTAAGGATGACTTAAATTTGCTATCTCATTTGTTCTGTTAGGGGAGCAGCCCTCCTCTAATCCCACCCCATTCCATGTCTGGCCCCCTTCATCTGCTGTCCTTAATCTATTCTTGCCGCTCACCCCACCAGGCCCTCATTCTCAACCCATCATATCAGCAAATATGATAAACTCTTGGCTACCAGATTGGCAAACCACAGAATCTTCTTGAGCTAAGGCTGTCTGTGTTCAGGCCCGTAGGAGGATAGCTGATGTGCAGTTAGCACAAGCTGCTGTCACAAATGTGACAGGGTCCAGAGAGACTGGGCAGCTCCTCTCAGGGCTTTCCTCCCAGTCCTGATTTGGGATTGGGCTTAGTCCATCATGTAGCCACGCTGGGAAGGTGCGGGGAATGGGAATTGTGCAGGGCGGTTATGCTGGCCCTGTAAGTGGGCTACTGTCCCAGTGGCCAGGGCTTGGTCTCATGATCCCATCTGACTGCAAAGGAAGCTATGGAATGAATGTGGCCTTCCTGTGTCCCCAGGAAGAGGAAACTCTAGTCGGGCAGACCCTCTCATGCCCACAGTCAGCATTTAAGCAGGCCTGTCGAGAGAGGTGTATCTGCCAGAATCAGGTACCCCTTGACTTGCCTAAGCAGTGGGACGTGTTCGGGGTCTTGCCACCCAGGCCTGGTCGTAGGCGAGCAAGTGTACAACAGACCTTTCTCATTAGCTTGGCTGTTCACCTGGAGCAGCCAGACATCCCTAACCCTTTTCTGTTTAGCCCTCAATCTGATCGGTCCTCGAGCCGTGGATGTGCTTTCCGAGCTGTCCTATGCGCCTATGACTCCAGACCACTTCCCGAGTCTCTTTTGCAAGGTAGGTGCTAGTGAAGTTCTGGTTTCTAAGTGGGTCATGGGTGTCTTTTACAGATGGCAATCACACGTTCTTACTGTGTTGTTAACACCCCCAAAGTGTGTTGCCTTTTATTAAATAAATAAAATGACAGAATAAATTCCTTTATTTTTTACCCCTCCATGTCTCCTTATTAGTAAGCATTAGGATGTATTTGAAGTGGATTTAACTTCTGCGAATACCAGTTCTATATGTCTATTACTTCCTATAGCAGTAGATTAAAATTCGAAATTGCAGGGTTACACTGAAGATGTGCGGGTCAGGTCCTCCTTCCTCTCCGGGCAGGGCTTCCTCTTTCTCCCACCTGCAGGTGGAGGAGCTTCCATGTTTGTGGCGTCCTCAGGTACTAATGGTGTAGGTGGATCCCTAGACAACCCGCCTGATTTTCTTTCTTACCCTCAGCAACTGTAGCTGAGTGAACAAATAGTAACCGAATGAGAGAAATAACTGAATATTCTCTAGGCAGTGGCTGATTTGAAGTCCTAACAGACAGATGTTTTTGTCAATCTGTCACAAGCAGCTTGGCACAGTTACTGAGAGAGGCTCTTTGCAATTCAGACCAAAGTTGGGATCCACTTACTAATGGATTTTAGTTTTCCTTTTTCTCCATGGCAGAGCGAAAGCAACAGGAAACTCACCGGTACCCACTAGTGACTCCTTCATGTCACACGTGTGGATTCTGTGGGGAGCGATCTGCATGTGTGTTCTGCAGAGGGCCCTGTGACGTTGGGCGTCCCGTGGCAACAGTTTGCTTTCGTGCCATCTGGGACTTAGCTCGTTCCTTTGTGGGAACAGTAACTGAGACAGAGATAACCGAGCTGCTGTAAACGTGTTATGAACATCAGAAGCCTGGCCTCGGACCCCAGAGCAGTAGGCAAACCGCGTTCTGTGCATATCAGGCGTCACCTTTTGTGGGCAGGTGCCCAGGACTGTTTGCTGAGACCTGCCAAGGGGACATTTGCCCCCTGACACACCTGACTAAAATCTTGAATAGGACTTTGCAAAAGTACTATTTCATGCTTGTCGAAGACTTTGCCTCCGCTGCCTACCAGCAGCTTGGCGAGCACTCCTGAAATTGAGGGTAGAAGAGATCTTGTAGAGGCCGTGCTCCAGCCCTAAAGACCTGGCCCCCTGGAAACAGACCGCTCTTGAGGATGAAATTCTTTCACTCACCTGTCTCTCCTTTAGGGTCAAAGGGTGCAGAGCTGAGAGAAGGGTTTACCTCAGGCATCCATCCCCCTTCCATCAGTTTTGACACTGGCTCTCCCTTTGTTTCCACAGGAGATGAGCGTGGGCTATGCCAATGGGATCCGGGTGATGAGCATGACCCACACGGGAGAGCCGGGCTTCATGCTTTACATTCCCATAGAGGTGAGCGGCACAGAAGGAAGGTGCGCCGGCCGGCCCACAGCCTGCTGAGCACTGGCCAGGCTGCAGAGCCGTGTCTGATTGCACGTTGGTAATTGAACGGGCTGCGCTAAAGAGATTTTAACATTGTAAAGTTGTTTACTTTAAAAAAATACATATTTTCAGACAGGAAAAGAGAGGGAGAGAAACACCAATGTGTGGCTGCCTCTTGTGCACCCCTACTGGGGACCTGGCCTGTAACCCAGGCATGTGTCCTGACTGGGAGTTGAACTGGCAACCCTTTGGTTTGCAGGCCTGCACTCAATCCATTGATACACAACAACCAGGGCTAAGTTACTTTTTCTGAATAGATAATACGTTCACATAGTTTAAAAATAAAAATCCAAAATATTCCGTTCTACTTGACCAGTTCCCACCAGTTGCCACCAGTGATCTAGATTTTATGTCATGTCAGAGATTTTTGAGCATATCGAAGGAAGTTCAAGACATATTTTAACCCTGTTTTTAGAATCAGAAACAGAAACATACTGTTATTTCTTTAACCATTTATCTTAGAGATCTTTCCCTAGGACTACCTAAAAAGAGCTTCCTCCTTTTTCTTTCCTGTACTTTTTAAAAGTGACATAGTATTCTGTCACATAATTGAATCAATTTATTTCATCAGTCTGGTACTAATAGACATTTATGATGTTTCTCGTCCTTTGCTATTTTAAAAAATTGTTCACTGTACAAATGTCTTTTTGCCCTGGCCAGTGTGGCTCACTTGGTTGGAGTGTTGTCCCATGAACCAAAGGGTCACAGGTTTGATTCCCAGTGAGGGCATATGCCTAGGATATGGTTTTAGCCCCTGAGGTTGGGGTGGGTATGAGAGGCAACCAACTGATGTTTCTCTCTCACGTCAATGCTTCTTCCCCTCTCTCCCCCCTCCCTTCCCTTCTCTCTAAAATCAAGTGTGTCCTCTGGGAGGGGAAAAAAATGTCTTTTTCCTCATTGCATGTACCAACATGTGGAGATGCCACACTTTAGGCTGATAGGTACAAAATAGTTCATCAGTGCAGTTTTTTAAAAGTTTTTATTTTTAGAGAGGGAGAGAGAAACATTGATGTGTGAGAGATCCATCAGTTGGTTGCCTCTCACATCTCCACATGGGGACCTGGCTTGCAACCCAGGTACATGCCCTGACTGGGAATAAAACCAGCAAACTTTTGGTCCACAGGCCGGGTCTCAAGCCACTGAGCCACACCAGCCAGGGTATCAGTGGAGGTTTTTGTTTTTAAGATTTTATTTATTTATTGGTATAGAGAGAGCGGAAAGGAGGGAGAGAGAGGGAAAGAACGTCAGTGTGCAGTTGTCTCTCACGTGCCCCCACTTGAGGATCCGGCCCAAACCCAGGCATGTGCCCTGACTGGGAATCAAACCCACGGCCCTTTGGTTTGTAGGCTGGCACCATCTACTGAGCCTCCGAAGTTCTGTCCGCCCACCCTCCACTTGTTCTCTTCTGATCTTGCGTGACCTGTCTTGTCTGCCCCCCACTTCCTGCTAGTCTTTGAGCATGCTAGACTGCCTCCCTCTCCACGTGCTGTTCCCCTTCCCCTGGCACATCCTTTTCTCCCTCCAGACCCATACTCCCAACCTCACAGTCGGACCTGCTTCAGGTGGTATTCATGTCACCTTCTTGATGACACTATTTAAACTTGCAACCTGACACCCAGTTTTCCCTATTCACATTCTGTGTTTTATTTTTCTCCACTGTGCTTACCATTGTCTAATAAGATTTATTTTGTTCTTCGGGTTACACATTTAAATGTTAGTTCCCTGAAGGCAGAGATATTTATCTGTTTTAACTTTTATATCCCCAGGACATTAGACAAGTACTTGGCATAGAGAAGTGCTTAACACATGTTGTACGAATGAATGTTCTGGCCCTATCCATTCTGTGTTTCTGTATAGAATTACCGATCTTTTTATGAGTTTTCAGGCATTCTCTCAGTCCTTGCCATTGAGTTGTACATTTTTAAAAATGTTTTATTGGTTATGCTATTACAGTTGTCTCATTTCTTTTCTCCCCTTTATTCCCCTCTGCCCTGCACCCCTCTGTCACCAGCACTCCCCTACCTTAGTTCATGTCTGTGGGTCGTACACAGTTCTTCAGCTTCTCTGTTTCCCATACTACTCTTGACCTCCCTGTTTTGTACCTACCATTTATACTTATTCCCTGTACCTTTCCCCCACTCCTCCCCCTCTCCCCACTGGTAACCCTCCATGTGATCTCCATTTCTGTGATTCTGTTCCTGTTTAGTTGTTTGCTTAGCTTGTTTTTGTTAGGTTCAATTGTTGGTAGTTGTGAGTTTGTTATTTTATTGTTTGTATTTTTTATCATCTTTTCTTTAGATAAGTCAGTCCCTATAACATTTCATATAATAAGGGCTTGGTGATGGTGAACTCCTTTAACTTGCCTTTATCTGGGAAGCACTTTATCTGCTCTTCCATTCTAAATGATAGCTTTGCTGGATAGAGTCACCTTGGATGTAGGGCCTTGCCTTTCATGACTTTAGTTACTTCTTTCTGGCCCCTTCTTGCCTGTAAGTTTTCTTTTGAGAAGCCAGCTGATAGTCTTACGGTAACTCTTTCTCTGGCTGCTTTTAGGATTCTCTCCTTATCTTTAACGTTGGGTGATGTAATTACAATGTGCCTTGGTGTGTGCTTCCTTAGGTCCAACTTCTTTGGACTCTGTGAGCTTCCTGGACTTCCTAGAAGTCTGTTTCCTTTGCCAGATTGGGGAAGTTCTCCTTCATTATGTTTTCAAATAAGTTTTCCATTTCTTGCTCCTCTTCTGCTTCTGGCACCCCTATGATTTGGATGATGAAACATTTAAAGTTGTCCTGGAGGTTCCTAAGCCTCTCCTCATTTTTTTGAATTCTTGTTTCTTCATTCTGTTCTGGTTGAATGTTTACTTCTTCCTTCTGTTCTAAACTATTGATTTGAGTCCCGGTTTCCTTCCCATTACTGTTGGGAAGGAAATGTTCCCTGTACATTTTCCTTTATTTCACTTTTCATAGCCTTTACTTCTTCCTCTATTTTGTATTCATATTCAACCATTTCTGTGAGTATCCCGATCACCAGTGTTTTTTTTAAATTTATTTTTATTTTTTTATTGATTATGCTGTTACAGTTGTTCTATTCCCCCTTTATTCCCCTCCACCCTACCCCTCATCCCCACCATTACCCCCCCTTTAGTTTATGACCATGTGTCTCAAGTCCTTTAGATTCTATATTTCCCATGCTATTCTTGCCCCCCCCATCTATTTTCTATCTACTGTCTATGCTACTTATTTTCTGTACCTTCTCCCCCCTTCTCCTCCTCCCACTCCCCCTGTTGCTAACCCTCCTTGAGATCTTCATTTCTATGTTTCCACTCCTGATCTAGCTGTCCTTTTAGTTTGCTTTTTGTTTTAGGTGTGGTTGTTAATAACTGTGAGTTTGTTGTCCTTTCACTGTTCATGTTTCTTTAACTTCTTTTTCTTAGATAAGTCCCTTTAACATTTCATATAATAAGGGCTTGGTGATGATGAACTCCTTGAATTTGATCTTATCTGAGAAGCACTTTATCTGTCCTTCCATTCTAAATGAAAGCTTTGCTGGATAGAGCAATCTTGGTTGTAGGTCTTTAGATTTCATGACTTGGAATACCTCTTTCTAGCCCCTTCTTGCCTGTAAGGTCTCTTTTGAGAAATCCTCTGACAGTCTGATGGGGACTCCTTTGTAGGTGACTGTCCCCTTAGCTCTTGCTGCTTCTAGGATTCTCTCCTTCATTTTAATCTTGGCTAATGTAATGATGATGTGCCTTGGTGTGTTCCTTCTTGGGTCCAACTTCTTTGGGACTCTCTGAGCTTCCTGGATTTCCTGGAAGTCTATTTCCTTTGCCAGATTGGGGAAATTCTCCTTTATTATTTGTTCAAATAAGTTTTCAACTGGTGGCTGTGCCTTTCCCCCTTCTGGTACCCCTATAATTCGGATGTTGGAGTGTTTAAAGATGTCCTGGAGGTTCCTAAGACTCTCCTCATTTCTTTGAGTTCTTGCTCCTTGACTCTTTTCTGTTTGGCCATTATTTGCTTTCTTCTGGTCCACTCCATTGATTTGAGTCCCAGTTTCCTTTTCATTGCTATTGGTTTCCTGTGCAATTCCATTCATTTCAATTAGTTTCGCCTTCATATGTTTGTCTAATTTGTCGGTATAATCAACCAGTTCTGTGAGGATCCTGATCACCAGTGTTTTAAACTGTGTGTCTGTGAGTTTTGCTATTTCTTCATCGCTTAGATCTATTGGCTCTGGGGCTCTGAGATCCTCCTGCGCCATTCTTGGTCTGTTCTGGCCCTTTAAGTGTGAGAAGCGGCACCTTGGATTCCCAGGTCGCTGGGTTGTGACGCTGTATGTGGGGGCGTGGTCAGAGTGAGAAAATGGTGGCCCCCTCTGCTGTTTCATGCCGCTGGGTGAGGAGCAGAGCCGTAGGTGGTTCACCAGGGCCGGGCTAGTCAGAGTCGCTGGGTTATGACGCTGTATGTGGAGGTGGGGTCAGAGCAGGGAAATGGCGGCGCCCTCTGCTGCCCTGCGTGGGGACCCGCTGGGTCTGGGTCCTGGTCCAATCGCCCACTCCCTCGCTTGTCTATCCGCGCACAAATGCGGGACCACAGTCAACCCGCAGCCCTGCTCCCTCGCTGTTTCCCCGCGATTGCTTGCTGAGTTGCCCACCAGGTCCAACCCTGCACCTGGATTCCGCACGCCCGAGTCCGTCTGACTGAGTTTTCCTGTACAACCCCACTCCGCCAGGTGCTGGTTTCGCCCCTTACCAGTCAGGCTGAAGAATTTGTTAACAGACTTCCAAAAAGTTCAATTTTCTGTGTTCTGGCTGTGTTTTCTGTTGCTAATATTTATTTGTCTCTAAACTTGGTTGTGTGAGAAGGCACGGCGCCTCCACCTATGCCTCCACCTTGGCGGAAGTCTAAGCTTGTATCTTTTGACCACTTTCTTCCAATTCCCCCTCCCTTGACTCCCCACCACTGGTAATCACTAGTCTGATTGCTGCTTCTGAGTTTGTTTTTTATTCCACACATAAGTGAGATCATACAGTGTTTGTCTTTCTCTGACTTAATTGTGTCTTGTTTTGTCTTCTATTTTAGTTTTTAAAGTAAACAGTGTAGTCTGTTATTGGGCTTTAGACTTAACAGAATATATGTAGATAGGGATTGAAAATTTTACTTTCAATTTGGAAAACTTACGTTCATTTAAGTTATGATACTTAACATGTTTCTGGAACCAAGAAAAGAGCAATGTGACAGGCAGGGTGTTGTGGGGTGCGGGTGGGAGAGCTTGGCTCTCCTGGCTCCTTCCCCGGTGTCTCATCTGGGGTGTCTACGAGCCGCCGTAATCTGCATGAAAAACCCAATGTCAGGTGCACACATCCGGAGTTGACATGTAACACGTTTCATAGCATGACCAGTGCAAAGGGGAACTGGGGCAACAAAAAGCCGGTGAAGAGTGAGTGGGCTATCCGTGAAGCAGTTCTGAGACTAGTCATTTGCTGGGTGGGGAGAATGTGTCTGAGTTATTTAATAATTGCTGAGTTACTCCCCTAGACGTGAAGAGACATGGTGGCTGTTTTCATGGAGCTTAAGTCCAGGGTAAGGGTGACCCTGGCTCATTACTCCTGGGTCATAGCACTTTGGTTTGTGGATGAGACATGGTGGGAATTTTACAAACCCGCCCCCTCATTCAGGTTAATAGCGACGGCCACCAGGCTCACCAGGCTCACAGGCCTTATTGAAATCTGAAGGTCTGCTGCTAAGTATTCTTCTCTCCCTGTAGTATGCCCTGCATGTCTACAATGAAGTGATGAGTGTTGGACAGAAATATGGAATCCGGAATGCTGGATATTATGCTCTCCGCAGTCTCCGAATCGAAAAGTTTTTTGCCTTCTGGGGTCAGGATTTGAATACACTCACCACCCCCCTGGAATGTGGACGAGAGTCCCGGGTGAAATTAGACAAGGTATGGTGTCTGCACACTGCACTGTCACTCACCTCCTCGTGCAGGACACCTGCATTAATTAGAGCACGTGGAGGAGCTGATGTGGAAGGAACGTGTCGAAGCTGAAACCTCGGTGACAGCGTCAGGTGACGATTAGGGTGTCCTTAGAATGAAAAATGTATCTGTGGGCTGAACCGACAGCACTTGTTTCAGGACTTTGCTCTTTTAGACTGCCTGCCTTCTGGGGAAGTTTTTCTGAGTGGGTTATGGTGACACAGTCACATGCCATGATAACTTGTATAAGTTAGTCACCTTCCATTCAACTGCCTTTTTTTTCAGAGTAATATAGGAGTAATTTTTTAAAAAATCATAATTCAAGAGGATGTTCAGTGAGTCTCTTTCCCACCCCTGAACCCCACCATCTTACTGCTCCCTTTCCCAGAAGCAGCGGTGGGGCCAACACAGCAGCGCAGTTTCCGCTCCCCGCAACCTACATGGGTCCTACACCGTTGCTGTGTTTTAGCACTGCATTCCCTGTCGGTACTCTTTTTGGAAAATATAAAATTAGTATCACTCATATTTTATCTACTGAGTGAGAATCACTATTGAGTTTATTTTATCTCAGTTTTGCTCTTCTTTTTGTACATATGCATATATCAACATACCCATGGAACTTTCTTGAGATTATATAGAAATGCTGTTTTTCTAAAAATTCTAGCAAATGAAGGCAGTTTGTGAACGCAATTTTTCATCTGGTGGGAAATGCACACACATTTCCCCAAAGCCCACCCAGGGGTGGGGGAAAAGCATCGCACCCCACCACAGCAACTGGCTCCCCTTGTGCTGCTCACGGGCCAAGGGACAGAGTGTAGATGACAACTCAGGGTCGCCTTTCTTTCCTAGGGGATGGATTTCATTGGTCGAGATGCCCTGCTGCAGCAGAGGCAGAATGGGGTGTATAAACGCCTCACTATGTTCATCCTGGATGACCACGACACAGACCTGGACCTCTGGCCCTGGTGGGGGGAGCCCATTTACCGAAATGGGCAATACGTTGGCAAGACCACCAGCAGTGCCTACAGCTACACCCTGGAGCGCCACGTCTGCCTGGGCTTCGTGCACAACTTCTCGGAGGACACTGGGGAGGAGCAGGTGGTGACAGCAGATTTCATCAACCGGGGCGAGTACGAGATTGACATCGCGGGACACCGGTTCCAGGCCAAGGCCAAGCTCTACCCAGTTGCCTCCCTCTTTACACATAAGCGCCGCAAAGATGACGTGGAGCTAAGTGACTTGCAGGGCAAGTAATAATGTCAGGCAGTCCTACCACCTCCCCATCTTCTCGTAGGAACCCGTTCTGATCCTCTTCTTGATTTAACCTTTGCCTCCTATCTCCTTGATACAATTTTAAATATTTTGTTTTGAACCCTCTCTTGACCTTTCCTCTCCTCCTCCCAGGTGCAGTTCCCCATCTCCTAACACTCACTCTGGGCTGTTTGACCGTCCCCCCACCCCCTCAGATTTCCATGGTGACAGGAAGGACAGGAGCAGACCCCATCTGTGGGAGGGAGTTACGGTGACAGATTTCTAATGCTGTGCTGGGAAGCTGCTGTGTGCTGGCCTTGGAGCAAGAACCCAATGCTGTGGGGCCAAGTGTCGAGGGAGTAAGTAGCCTGTTAGCGGAGGGGGGGGTTGCTGTGTTTGTGACAGCCCAGATCCTCTGTGCTGTGGGTCGGCACCCTGACACCTCTAGCAAGATGACCATCTACCTCACAAGAGGTGTCGTGTGGTTGTTTCTGGGCTGCAGCAGAGATAGCCTGGCACTGTCCCCAGCCTCCTACCAGACTGTAAGGTCAGGGCCACCTGCCTGTAATTCTCATCATGTCTATCACTAGGGGCTCTGTTTGTTTACCTGAGTAAGCAAGTAAGACGCAGTATCTGAAAGGGAAAAGCGATGTTGCCTTGTGCTTTGATATTTCCAGGTGAAAGTCTTAACCTCAGAAAGCATCAACACCAAACCATGCTGAGTTTCCTGCTGCTAAAACTGCGCTTTTGCTCTCTCAGCTATTCCAAGTTCAGGCACCCCACCTTGACTGTCCTCATAGGTTTCCTTCCCTGTCCCTTCTGCAGTGGGCCCACTAGCTCAGCAACTGTTTCTCTCCCCTAAAGGGAGGGCACAGTAAGCCCTGTCATCCTGGTTGTGTACCGTATTTTTGGACAAGATGCACCTAGCTTTTATAGGAAAATTTAAAAAAATTTTTGAAGCAAAATGGTAAAATATTTAATAACATAAATAACAATGTTTACCATGGTAAATATAAACACAACAGCAGCATTAACCACCATTATTCCTCCCAAATTTGGGTGGGGGGGTGGAGAAAGAGGAAGTGCATCTTATAGTCCAAAAAACACGGTAGGTAATTAAACCTTGCTGGCTCTTCTGCTTCCTCCAGCACAGAAGAGACAGATCCACAGATGACCCATGTGGGCTCAGAGTGTACAGGGTACATGCCATGTGAGCCTAGCAGAATGCTTTCCGTCTTTTCTTTCCCTGTCCAGCCATTTCTCTGTCCCCTCCAAATAGAAAATGACCTGGAGCGCCCCCAAGAGGGCCATGCACAGTTAAGTGTGTCTTTTTCTAAGGGTGGGACGTGAGTGACATCAGACTGTATTATCCCTCCCAGCACTTAATTTTCCCTTGCTCCTAAGCTGCCATAATCTGATTTTCTTTTAGTATAAACTGTTAGAGGTGTAACTAATTAAACTGTAGCCTTTGTTTTCTTGGCATCTGAGAAGCATTAGCTCTGATGGGTCTCCAAGTTTAGTAGAGAAGCAGCTTTCAGGTGCTGGCCAGCTCTGAGTTTTCTTTTACCCATCTGGTCAGGCTGCCTTTGTCCAGACATTTCTTGCCATTTTCCCAGCCAGACAACATCTACTTGATTAGTGTCCAGCTTTTTAGGAGGTCTCAGATGATTTATTAAGGGAGCATGTGATAGAATTGCTTGGACGGCCGTGCTATTTTGATGCAAATGTGTATGTAACTAGCTGAGAGATGCTGCTCCTATGCAAAGAAGAGGAAAGACGTTGCCCAGCTTGGGAGCAGTGACCAGGAGCTGGGCCAGTGCAGATGTGACCAGCAGGCAGTGACTGGCCCAAGACGAAATAGGTGATACAGAGCTAAAGATATCACATGCTCCACACCATTCCAAAGTAATCTTTTCTGGAGTTATGCACGAACTTCATCTTGTCACAGACTGGCAAGATGCTGCTGCTCTTCTAGGGCATCACTTGTGTACTAAGTGTCCCGAAGCGCACATTATTGTTTGGCACTTTAAAATTCCTCCTTGAAGTCTTTTTGTTTGTTTAAACATTGGCAATGTGAATCGGGTAGTTCTCTCTAAATCTGAAGTGACAACTTTCCCACCTCTAGCATAATTGACAATCAAGACATCTAATTTGTGTGTCATTGCCATCTCTGGGGCAGTGGTGCCACCTGTGTTTGTCTTGTGTGACAACTCACCTCTCTCTAGGGATGCAAGTGGTTCTGGATTCTTCCGAGGGGCTTTTCTCAGAAGTGATCATCACCTCTTGTGCTCTCTTGGGGAGGGCTCTGCACACTTCTTCTAGCTAGCTTGTCCGAATGTTCAACTGAACATTTTTGAACCTAGAGATGCAAAGTGTGTTAGCCACAAACCGATGAAGCCCCACGGTTTCCAGTCTCCTGTGCCGTTTCCTCCCTTGACATAGCTTCTAAGCCCCTCCTCATGGCTGCCACACGTACATCCTGTTTCTTGGCACTGCCACTGTCATCTGACAAATTGAAGCATCAGGAAGATTTCCCACCTGTGATGTCACTGAAGTCAGAAAACCTCTGAGCAAAAAGGGACAAACTACTTGCTTGGGTGGCCCGTCTGGCGTCCTTTAACTCATGCAGAGTCAGGTACATGTGCTGCAGAGGCACGGCACACTCCAGGGGAGACCAGGGGGCAACTCACGCTGTAGTGCTAGTGCTTTTCTGGTGGGGGGCCCTGCACCCCCAAATGTGAGCAGTGCCATTCAGACTAGGGACCCAAAGACCATTTAGCTCAGTGATTACCCCATTCCGGCAGTAGAGCACCGTCACTAAGGGATGCCTCCCCGCCTGGACTTCTGGCTCTGGCGTCTGACCCTCACTGGTGTCTGCCTGAGCCTTCACCACCCTTTAGAACCTGACCTGATAAAAGGACGTCTTCTGTGACCTGTGGTCTCGGTTCTGAGCTAGAAGGCTGGGCCTGGTAGTTGCACTGGCTGGTTTTCAGGGGGTACCTACAGGGTTCATTTTCCTCTTTGTTTTTTCTTGGGTAACAGCGATCCCAAGGGTCCTCATTAGTATCTACAGCAGGGGTTCGGTTGCAGTGGTTAATACTGAAGAATAACCCCCGTCCTTCCAATCCCTCACCAACTTTGACCTAAGAGACATACCAACATGACACGGGAAGTTTCTTGTGAGGGGAGGATTTTTGTCTCAAACAGCATTTCTAGGCACATGAATTCAGAAGCACAGTTGAGCTGAGCAACGGTAGGTGAAGCAGTGAGATGTTTAGGCATAATGACGACGCCCAGCAGTAACTGAGCAGCTGTGCGACCACCGCTCAGCACCTCCCCACAGCCTCCACTTCCAGGTGCTGAGTTGTAAGCCTCCTTCATTTTCAGTGTGGGGCTCCCATTTGCAGTCCCCCATCACTAACAAATGCACTATTTTTCCAGAGGACTAAGTATTTTTGTATGTTTGCCTTCTTTGTCCATTAAATACTGTTGTTCCTTGTATAATATGATTGACTTCTTTGAGCAGAATGTCTGTATTCCTTGGAAAACTACACATTTCTCATGGCTATTATTCTCATAGTTAGATGCAGTTACTTTTATCTTTTGCAAACACTCCACCTTCTTGTTTTTCTTTCTCTCAAGGACAATAATTACAAGAGGTGGAAAGGATATTTTTAGCATCTGTTTCAAAAGAGCTAAGCCAGGAATTCCATTGCACACCAAGAACTGGGGCTTGGGGCACATCTTTTCTCCACGCCAGGTTCTCGTGCCTTACACGTGAGAATGTCACATGGTGGGCAGAGAGAGGAAGGCCAAAAAAGAAACTCCGTTTCAGTCTGAGGGTTCCCATCACCTTGCTCAGCCCCTCCCTCCCCAGAACAGGTGTGTGGGGGGGACAAAAGCTGCCTGAACACCCTGGTGTTCTAAGCCTGCCTCAGTGCAGGGTGTTCTAAACAGCACAGTTGACACTTTCCTCTCTGGTCAACTCTTGGGATGTATCAAAGCGCCACTGTAGTTACTGTAAAGTGCTGTGATGCATTCTTTGCATGTGTTAATGTGCACTTGTGTTCAGCCCTTTCTGTCCCTGTGCAGCGTTAGCTGGTGGTCCTGAAGACATCTGAGGCACTTAGGTAACTGGGACCTTTCCTCAAGAGCCCTGGTGACTGACGTTAGGCACACGGGGTGACCGAGCACGTCTGCCCTCCATGAACATGGCATTAACGTTGTGGGCTGTATTTCTGTCAGGGCAGATTTCAGTTCAGATTTTCTTTTTGTGTTACTAGGTTTGTAAATGAATAAAGACATTTTAAATACTCTTACCTTGTCTGTGAAAGTCTATGTTTGCCATGGCAAAAGATAAACACTGCACATAAAGCTGTTGATTGCTGTGTTACCAAGTAAGCAGAATGTGGAAACTGAGGCAAAGCAGACAGGGCATCACACTGCCCTCCGTGCAGTCACTGGTGGCCTGGCTGGTGAGAGTGCCTCCATGTCTCCTCCTGAAGTCACCGTCACTGAATTTGACATCCTGTCTTACAGCTGACTTCATATCAAGAACCTAGTTCTTATTCCTGATGTACCTGGGAGCCAGTGTCTGTGTGGGAACAGGAGTGCCTGCGTTCTTGGCCACACCTATGGGGTGAGAAGCAGCCAGTCGTCTACGACACTGAGCTACCACCCACACATTGGCTCACTGGAGTTGTTACTCTGTTGATCCAACTATTTTTTGAGGAACTGCACCTGGGAATCCATGGGTGGGTTAAGATGTCTGTAACAATTTCATCTTGTATTCTAAATCTACAATTTCCAGTTTCACTACTGGCCAACATTTGTCACAGGTGAGAGAGTGCACAGAAATATCCCTCCCACAGTCTCCATGGCCACCTCCAAAAGAGGAGTCCCAAAGACATTTTGAACAGTGACATTTCAGGAATATCAGGAGAGCCCTTCCCTGGTAATTATTTTGAAGGACGCTAAAATCACATGTATCTTCTAACTACTAACATACCAGATTAAGTACATTACATGCCATTTTAACAAGTGATTCCAGAAAGGGAGAAGCCCACTGGGCTCAGCGTGAGTGAGAAAGACTTACTTGCCAGCTCCCCCGCCAAATGAAAGGCCAGCGGAGTTCATTCCTGCCAGGACAAAGTAGCCCTGCACCAAAGGAGACTCGCCCATGATGCACCTCATGTCCGGTGTGAAGGTCTCGGGGCAGTTCACCAACTTCATGATCTCCAGGGTCTCCAACTCTGGCATCCTACGCAGGGAGAGAACTCAGCAGGGGCTCTGAGCAATAAAAACAAAGCCAAACGAGTCCTGAGCTTCAGGGAATTCCAAAGTTCCAGCCCCCTCTCCTGCCACAGAATCTCTTGAAAGAGGTCTTCTGGAAGAGCCAGCTGGGCCATTGACCAGAAAGCAGAAACCTCGATGGGATTACGGAACACACCTACGAAGTGCTCGGCTTGGACACTGAGAAGGGAGATACTCTCTGGAAAGAAAGGCAAGGTGCTGTGGCAGAGATGACGCACGTGGGCACAGATAAGGACCTCGAGGGGCTTGGTGCTGAGGCCCCCACGTGGCATCGAGAGAGATGCCATGAAAGGGCAGGCTCCCAAAGCCGGAACGTCTGAGACAGATGCTCAGCCCGTCCACCCTCCGTCACCTGGGAGCAGTCTGGTGGGGCAGTGACACAGGTGACACCAGACCAAAGCTGGCTGGTGGGGGGGGGTTCCTCATGCTGTGCTCTCCACTTGCAAAAGTTGGAAGTTTCCCACAGTAAAATAGGTTTACAACAGAACAGTTTATCCTTGCCATGGCTGGTGTAGCTCAGTGGATTGAGCGCAGGCCTGCAAATCAATGGGTCACTTGTTTGATTCCCAGTCAGGGCACAGGCCTGGGTTGCGGGCCAGGTCCTCCCCAGCAGGGGGCACGCGAGAGGCAACCACACATTGATGTTTCTCTCCCTCTCTCCTTCCCTTCCCCTCTAAAAACATTTATCCTTGTATTATTAATTGTGGTATTTGTATTATAATTATAAACCTACTTTTGCCCACACCTATATTTTTTTACAATTCAAATGGGAGGGAAACTCTTCCTTTTAGACTCTTAAACTTTTTGAATTTGTGAATGCCCAAGTGCTTCCCGGCCCTGCTGGCAGGAGAGCACCACGCCCCCCGGGAGGAGGCAGAAGGTCGCACGCTCTGCTGCAGGGATGGTTCGGGTTTCTGATGGGGAGGATGGGGACCCCGAGTCTTCCAGCCCACGCTAGAAATGCTGTGGGCCCGACATCTGTTCAGTTTGTCACCAGAGAATCAACTTACTGAGCTACACCAGCCAGGGCTCAATTAATGACTTTTAATTTAAAAAATCTAAATTATAAAACTAGTCTGCAAAAACTCAAATACAGGAGAAAATTAGGTTTTCACACCACACAAAAATGATGGTATTGGGTACCAGTGTTCATGATATTTTCCCAGAGACATAAGAGTAGAAACTAAATAGATTAGTTTTAGGGCCCAAGCTGGAGAAGCAGAGGTCAAGGCAACTTTCTCTGAGGACAGAAGTGCTGGCAGGCGCCCCTCGTTCCTTTTTTCTACTCTCCTCCCAGCCAGCCAGCTCATGGCTCATCACAGGCAGCGGTCAAATCTGAGCTCTCCATTAACGTTGCTAACGCCACTCCCGTCCTGGTGGGTCCCCGAGACCCACTCAACTCGAGCACCCTGCATGAGTTGAGGGTGCTTTTCCACAAAAGTGGACAGCTTTGGCTCACACTATGGACTTCTCTAAAAATATCTCGAAGATCCACAAACCCCAAACAAGCATCAGTTGGCAGCTGGCCTCAGTGGGCCATATACTTCTTGCTGAGCAGCCCCAAGCCAGGCATGAGTGGGGACTGGTCACAACTTGAATCATGTGACCCCAAAGCCTGGCATAAGCTGCGGCCAGTGCTGGCCTGGATCCCAGCTTCAACAAAGCAGCACAAACCCAGCATGGGTGACGGCTGGCCTCAGCTCACATCGCAGTGCCGCCAAAGGGTCTCACGCAAAGCACTCCTGGCGGCTGGCCTTGGTTCACATCATAGCCTCTCCCAGGCACCTCCACGCCCAGCACAGCAGTGACCAGCCACAGATCACTCTAGCTCCCACTAGGTGACCCCATGCTAGGCACAAACGGTGGGTGACCTTAACCTGCACCAGAGCTCCACCCAACCAGCTCCACAAATGAGACACTCCCACGGCAGATTCAGCTGGCACCAGAGCCCTGCTGAAGTGATTTGCTCGGTGCCCAGACAACAGCTTGTCCACTGTAGTCACAGCCATCCCTCACAGCCAGCCAGCCTGAGGGTCAGTCTCCCCAGTGACATGCCAACAGCAATCAGCACAACTACAACAGGAGTACACGGCCCACACAAGGGACACCGCTAGAGCACCTGGCCAAGGTGACAGGGGAGATGGCAGTACTGGGCCTCACAGGACACTTACTAGTCTTCCAAGACACGGGGACATAACAGACACCTAATACACAGAAATGAAGAGAATTGGCCAGAATGAGGAGTCAAAGAAACACACCCCAAATGAAAGAACAGGACAAAACTATGGAAAAAGAACTAAATGAAATGCACATATGCAATCTACTAGATAAAGAGTTTAAAACACTGGTTACAAGGATGCTCAATGAATTTAGGGGAAGAAGAGATGAACTCTGAAAACTTTAACAGAGATAGAAAACATAAAAATAACCAGTCAGCCCTAGCTGGTGTGGCTCAGTGGATTGAGTGCTGGCCTGCAAACCAAAGTGTTGCTGGTTCGATTCCTAGTCAGAGCACATGCTTGGGTTGTACGCTGTGGCCCCAGTGGGGGGCACATGAGAGGCAGCCACGCATTGATGTTTCTCTCCCTCTCTTTTCCCCTCCCTGCTTCCCCTCTATCTAAAAACAAATAAAAATAAAATCTTACCAAAAAAAGTAGTGAGCAAAAAACCAAAAGCATTTAAAAAAAATAACCAGTCAGACATGAGGAATATAATAGTAGAAATTAAGGACACACTAGAGGGAATCAACAACAGATCAGATAACACAGAGGAACAAAGTAGCTATGTGGAAGACAGGCAGAAAGTACACAATCAAAACAGCAGAAAGAAAACAATTTAAATGAGCATAGTTTAAATAGGACAACATTCAGTGGGACCAACGTTCACATCACAGGGGTACCAGAAAAAGGAGAGAGCAAGGGATTGAAAACCTATATTCAGAAATGAGTGAATTAACCTAACCTGGTAAAGGAAACAGACACACAAGTCCAGGAAGCACAGACGATCCTGAAGAGGCCCACGCCAAGGCACATCCTAATTAAAATACCAAAGATTAAAGACAAAGAGAGCACTTTAAAGGCAGCAAGAGAAAAGTTAGTTACATACTAGGGAGCTCCGTAAGACAGTCCACTGATTTCTCAACAGAAACTTTGCAGGCCGGAAAGGACTGGCACAAAATATTCAAAGTGATGAAAAGCAAAGACCTAAAATTACTCGACCCAGCAAGGCTATATTAGAATAGAAGGAGAAAATGATTCCTAGACAAGATAAAGCTGAAGGAGCCCATCAACACTTACCAGTAACACAAAAAATGCTAAAGGCACTTCTTTAAGTAGAAAAGATTTAAAAAATGAATAAGGAAATATAGGAAAGAAAAATATCCTCACTGATAAAGGCAGCCATTTAATAAAAGCAGTCCATCAATCATGAAAGTAATATAAAATTTAAGAGGCAAAAAGCAGGAAGATCCCGTGTAATTACAACGATAAATCAAGTGACACAGACAAGCACACAAGAAGTAAAAAGTAACGACAAAAACGATGAGTAAAAATTGTAGTGATTTTAGAATGTGTTCAGATTTAGGTAACCATCGACTTAAAATAAACTGCTATAAACACAGCTTGCCATATAGGAAGTACAAGGTAACCACAAAGCAAAAACCCCACAAGATGAATATAATAAAGAGAAAGGACTACAAACACAACACTACAGAAAATTACCATCTTATAAGAATAAGAAACAGAAAATTACAAAACAGTAAAAAAACAGTTAATAATATGCAATAACTACATCCGGACCCATAATTACTTCTGGCCCTGGCTGGGTAGTTTAGTTGGTTAGAGCGTTGTCCCAACACACCTAGGCTGTGTATTTGATCTTCAATCAGGGCACATACAAGAAATAACCAACATGCTCTGACCAGTGTGGCTCAGTGGACTGGGCATCATCCTGCGATCAAAAAGGTCGCAGGTTCCATCACTGGTCAGGGCACATGTCTGGGCTGCAG